GCGATACACTTAATCTCAATATTCGCGCTAAAACAAACAGTATCACGAACGAACGAACGTTAACTTCAACAATACCCTGTGACTGCAGTTCAATTACTCACTCTCTATCCAGACATTACATTCCCCTCTTTTATATACCAGCCTACCCTATCTTTAGTAAGAACTAGAACATTCGCCAAAGTACATGATAGTTCTAGAAACGTTGCGTCACAGTAGTCACGTGACTCGCTGACGCAACAATACTGATACATCAATAGGTTGGCACACAACGATTAATAAGCATAAGGAAAAATATTATTCATGGTGTAACATACAACATGTTTCGACAGAAGATTGGTATGTCTTCTTCGGGTATGATTAATACTAAGCTATACACAGTTTGTATAACGTTTTGAAGACAAAAGGATTAAGTAAGACGGAAATAACGTCAGCAGGTATAGTTAAGGGTCAAATCTGGTCAGTTGTGTGGGCAGTGAATAGAGTTTGCCAAACACGGCTTACGTTGCGGGGACCATTATCAAGGTTTAGTGAGAGATCGTTAGCTTTCATGGTTTCTATAGTTTCTAAATAGTCTTTTTATTTTTTGGTTATGGATTGGTGTAGTGGGAGAATTTCATTCCACAGTATTATTTGTGACCTGTTTCATATTGATGATATTGTTGCGTCAGAGAGGTCACGTGACTCGTTCTCTCGAACCTTCGGGAATTGTCGGGAGATTACTAGGTATAGGGTAGCCTGGTATATATATAAGAGGGTGACAACGTGACGGGACAATAATGTAATGTGTGTGTAGGTAATGAGTAATTGAACTGCAGTCAGAGAGAGACGTATTGTTGAAGTTAACGTTCGTTGTTATAGCGTTTGTTTTAGCGCGATTGTTGAAATTAAGTGTATCGTAAAGTTATATTCGGAAAGAATAAACTAGTTTTATTAAGTAAGGACTTGTGTCGCTAAAGTTTCGTCGGAACGAAGTTACGGAAAGTTAATTAACAAACGGAGACGTAAAAATATGTTAGGAAAGATGTCTGGAATTCATATCTACGCATGTGTTCTTTGCATCTTATTTCTAAAGAGCGTGATGTTTGTCCTATGTATTTCTTGTCACATTCACAAAGGATACTATAGATGCCCTGCTTTGTTCTTTGGGTAGAGATTATTTTGCATTAGGTAGTAATGTGAAGGTCTGTATACAGTTTTTACGTCAATGCTCAAATTATTAAAAAAGACTAGTGATTTCGTTTGTAATTTCTGGAACAAAAGGGGATGAAATAAGTTTGTGTTACTGAAAGGTTGGAATTCGTGGAATATTCTTTACTATTTTTAAGTTTAATGAACGCCTTGCATGATTTTGTATGTTATTTAGGTAGTTCAATTTAGTTAGTAGGTCTTTTTTGTGTGTACATAGTTGTATGGCACGATTTAAGAAGAAAGAGGCTATTTAGAAACTATAGAAACCATCAAAGCTAACGATCTCTCTCTCACCAAACCGTGATGATGGTCCCAGCAACATAAGCCGTGTTTGGCAAACTCTATTCACTGCCCACACAACTGACCAGATTTGACCCTTAACTATATCTGGTCACCTGCTGACGTTATTTCCGTCTTACTTAATCCTTTTGTCTTCATAAAGTTATACAAACTGTGTATAGCTTAGTATTAATCATACCCGAAGAAGACATACCAATCTTCTGTCGAAACATGTAGTATGTTATACCGTGAATAAAAAAAATTCCTTATGCTTATAAATCGTTGTGTGCCTACCTATTGATAACCACAACATTCCCAAAGAGGACCTAATGACCCTTCTCGTATCTCTGTGCTTGTTCTGTTTCCAGTATTTTGACAGCTCTGTCATCACCAAAATGGTAAATCAGCAAGTTATTAAATATGAATAAGAAATGTATGTGCTGTTTTTCAGAGCAGAGTAGCACGCGCAAAACTCACGGAAACAGTTATGTTATGTGCTAAGCAGGACATTTGAAACTTGTATATAGCTACTAACATAAATCAGTTGTATTTTTTTAAAACATATTAAACGTTTTCGTGTATTTAATTTCTAGTGCAATTATTCTGATATGACACCATGAACTTTTTTTGTCGTTGTCATGCACAATTCCTTGGCTGAAAATTGTAGTATTAGAATATTTAGTTATTGATGAATTTAATTAAATTACGTTGTAACATATTGATTCCTTTATCTAAACTTTTGTGATTTGGTCAATATTTGTAATGAAGTCACAAAAATAGTCGCTTTTCTCTACATCTTGATATAATCAATTATAGGCCACCATGCAGATTTATAAACGTGTGTATAGAAAATATTAATTGGAATAAGAGGAAAGTTTGACTTTGGTTGACTTCAAATAATATATCTCACATAGGAAAACGATGCATTACCGTTTTTAACCACACGTATATGTATATATATTAATACAAATCACACTATTTAACGGCCCGGTATGGCCAGGTGGTTAAGGCGCTCGACTCACAATCTGAGGGTCGCGGGATCGAATCCCCCGTCCCACCAAACATGCTCGCCCTTTCAGCCGTGGGGGCGTTATAATGTGACGGTCAATCCCACTATTCGTTGGTAAAAGAGTAGCCCAAGATTTGGCGGTGGGTGGTGATGACTAGCTGCCTTCCCTCTAGTCTTACACTGCTAAATTAGGGACGGCTAGCGCAGATATCCCTCGTGGAGCTTTGCGCGAAATTAAAAAAACAAACAATACTCTATTTAAAAACTAGATAAACGTCAGTCAGTAGAAGCTCGGGGATCAATTATTTCTACCAGCGATATTATGAGGTCGTTTTCTTTAATCATTTGTTTACCTTCGTTTTAATGAATACTTTTTGTGTTGAAAAAAGGTCATCGCTGATAAACCTTTCTTTCAGTTTCAGGTCTTTGACGAACACGATGCTGACTAGGCTTTTCCTGCTTGTAATGTAATTATGGAAAAGTAGCTAGCTATATGTGTATGATAGACTTGTAATTATAATTCAGTAGGACTTTTTTCGTTAAGTTTAATTACATACGTGTGTATGAACAGTAGCCTATTCTCAGCACATCTGTTTGGAGCTTGAGTATTAGGCCCATTACTCAAATAATTGATCACTTTCATGCTCAAATATCAAAACAATGGAAATAATCTAATAATTATAATAATTTATTCATCTATAAAGGTACATTCCTGTCGTAATCTGTTATTGTATCCAGTTCTAATGTCCATTGCTTACGTATAAATATATATATATATATATACTTCTGTGTCTGTTTCAGAATTTCGAAAATTAAAATGCTTCTCATAACTGCATATTTTATATTGTCAATTTATTTTACTTCTTTTGAAAAGTAAGGTTCATTTAAAAGTTTCTCGAGCTGTACAAGATATTAATATTAACCAAACTCAACACTAGGGGAAATCACATGATGCATATATGTACTAATAATGGAATAATTTGAATATAGATAGTATCTATTTATTTATTATAATCCTACAATTCACAACAATTGGGTAAGGCCTATTCTCTGCATGTAGACATATTGAGGACTAATTACAGTTTCATTAATAAGTATTTAGCGAATGCTACCTTGTTTTCAATTTCGGTAAAAATAAATTTAAAAATGTGTTACCAAAAAAGAGTCAATTATGAAGCGTTGCCAGAAATGTATCTAACAGATAAAATAATGAATGAACCCAGCCGTTCTATAATGTTGCTACAATTCATATGTAACAATTCACTTTAGTTTTTGCAATTCCCGGAAACATATATTGTTACTGCAACAATAATTATAACGAACATGTCTCAACCCAGTGATAGTAGAGAAGATGGTTAATAAAAATATCCGACCAATCACAAGAGCCAAAACACACGTCATGTGACATTCGTAACATGTGATTCTTGTAGGTCATGGACATGCGATAATGTTAATGTTATAAGAAAGAGGGAGAAAATACCAAGACATTTTTCTCTCCCTTACACAGTCTAAGTACAAGGAATTCAAGAACGTTGCTTCTATTTGGTTTAGACTAAATTACTGTTTGTATTTCGTTACGGGGCTTCATCATGTAACTATTTATACATCAGGTTCTTCGCCAACTAAAACCTACAAACATTGCTTCGACATGTTATCAAGCACATGCTCTGAATACCGGCCTTTCTTACAAAAATGTAAGAGAAAATTCAACTGGAATTAAAATTCGTGAGGTTGTGCGTATTAATAACAGTCAGTTACGAGTGGTTTTTAACGGCAACAGCTCGTGTGACTTTTCACATATTAGGCTTCGTGATAGTTGCTTATGCTCTAACTGTGTCCACCCAGAAACTCATCAGAAACTCGTAGACGCCACTTTGGTGGATATCAATATTCAACCTTCGAAATCGACATTAAGAAGACTGATCAATTGGAAATTGAATGGGCATCTTCTGGCACAGAACAAATGCACAAGAGTTTTTTCTCTGCTGATTGGCTTCGTGAATTTGTCCAAGTTATGACGAATGGTGGACATAAGTTGATTCAACCAAATAAATAATATGTACACAAGAAAAAGACCTCAAAGAATTTTGTGGAATAAAATGACAATAGAAAACACGAATGTTGATGTGGAGTATTCTGACTTAATAGAAAACCAATCAACTCTAAAAGGAATTACTGAACTGTGGCTTATATACGGTATAGCATTGGTTAGAGGTGTACCAATAAGGGAAGGTCAGATGTTGGAAGTATGCAAGAGATTAGCTTATGTCCGGGAGACAGGATTTGGGAAGACATTTAATCTGAAACAAAATCTAGATCCTAAGGCTCATCTTGCATATACTGGGATTGCACTCTCACCGCACACAGATCTTGCCTACAGGGAAAGATCTCCAGGCGTCCAGATGCTCCACTGTCTCCATTCGAGTGATCCAAGTATTGTAGGACAGGATAAGGCAGGAGGACAGTCTTTCTTTATTGATGGTTACGTGGCAGCGGAGTGGTTAAGAGACAATCACCCTGATCACTTTATTTTACTTTGTTCCACACCTGTTCCTTTCTCCCTCTTTGATGCTGAGCGGAGTAGGTGGTAGAGAGCCGAGAGGCCCATTATCACAGCTGACGAAGCAGAAGAAATCCATTAAAGTGGATTCTTTTTCAGAGCGCCTTTACTACCTGTAAAGAAAATGAAACCATTCTATTTGGCCTACCAGACATTCTCAAATAAGATTACAGACCCTTCGATGGCTTGGACCCTGTATCTTAAACCAGGAGACCTAGCAATATTCCATAACCGTAGGATTCTTCACGGTAGAGGGAGCTATAATATGAACCTGGTATTCAGATTTTTGCAAGCAGGTTACATTGATTGGGACGAACTGGAAGCTCTGTATGAACATATTCACGGCGATGTGTATTGTTATGAGTGGAAATGATGAACAATTTCAAGTTTCGTTTAGTTTGGTAAATTACTGCATTTGTTCTTGGTTTATACTTACCGAGTAATATTTATACTGTAATACATATATATTATTTTTAACCTTTTCTTTATTTAGTGATGTGCGTATATGTGTTAAGTCAAGGTAGAAATCATGCTAAGTAAAAATATTGTTTTATTTGAAAAGGCCGTAAATGTATGTAGTTTTCTTTATATTCTTTAACAGTCTCATCACTCTATGTATATGTACAGTGTATTATACTAATATCTTGCACGATAAGATTTATGTAACTCGTTAAGACTTTCAAAATATATATCAGTAATTAAAACTACAGCAAAAAAGCAATCTTTTGAAATTATGTTCAAATAGATTTTGACAATTTTTGTCTTTAAGTTCAAAGAAGTGGTTGTTCCGTAATAATTTTATTTTTCACAAAATGGTTTTATTAAGACCATGTTCATAAATTTAGCCCACCTGATCTCTGAAAAATTGACACAGAAAAACAAATTTTCACACGAAATATAAATAGTATCTTAGGTAGAATCTTTTGGATTAATTATAAAAAGATAAATATAAACATGGAAATTTAAAACTTTTAAATAGGGATCGTAAAAAATATAAGGAAACAAGGCTGTATTTAAATAGTCAACAGCTTCGGTAAATCATCACGAACCGTGTTAGCTAACTACTAACTATGTTTATTATAATTACAATATATAAAGTTAGCTACCATATCAAGTAATCCTCTGCCCATAATTGAGCATAAAAAAACCAACAAACAAGGCTGGAGATACTGTAGACATTATTTACTTAAACTAGAAATCCTTATTTTGATTCCACCAAATATAATTCTAGGTAATAACATGGAGTCAAAATAGGCGTTTGTAGTTTAAGAAAATAATGTCTACAGTATCTAACATTAGTTTGAGATGTAAACTGTTAAGCTGCAGCTAGGGTGGTTGTTTGATGTTTTATGACGCAAAGCAACGAGGTTATCTGCGCCAAACAACCGATATAGACAATAAAAAATAACCTGTAGTAAAATGTAAAAACACATTATATACAATTAAAAAGGCCGATAGTGCGTAAAAAATTTAAAATACACTCAAATCGGACAGTGTCACCATCGCCAAATGACACTGTCCAGCATCAGGGGTAAACTCTTAGAAAACACGTGTCTAAAATGGTGCCGCCACTCACGGTCGTAACGATGGCACAACAGTAAGATGTAGGCTATTGTGACTTGATTGTCACAAAGGCTACACATCGGTGGGTCAATACCAGATAAAAAAAACGATGAGTTAAAAAACTGTGACCAATGTGTAGTCTTGTCAGGACAACTTCCTCCTTCCGATCCTTATGGAGGCAAGACGGCCAAAGACCAACAGAAGGTTTGATCTGGAAAAGCTTTTTAAGACATTGCTC